GCTCCATGCTGACAACCCTCCCAAATGAACCACTGTGTGGGCGTCCACAGCCAGCCACGCACCGTTCCGTGGCTGCCAACGCACGCTGCAAGGCACACCCGTTCCACCACGGAACCCGAAGACTCGATCAATCTCCGTCCAAGACTCCGGTGTCCGAGCTCGGCGTCACGGGCGGGAACGGCCCGAAGATCCCGTCCAGCGCGCCGCTCTGTGGCGTCGGGCGGCGCGCGCGACGCGGCAGACAGATGGTGGCGCTCTGCGACAATACCGACGCGGGGCTGAAGCGGCACCTGTGTCTGGAACCGCTGATGGGCGCGATCCATCCTGCGCCCCCTGCGGCGAAAAAACACCGCCGCGCGCGGTGGCCGGGTCTGTAGCCCGGGCCCATCCGCTGCTGGTCATGCGTCCTCGAGCTGGCTCAGATGCCGCCCTGACTGAGCACTGGCTCGCGATTGAAACTGGGGCGGACCCCCCCCCCCCCCCCGAGGGAAGGGCTGTCGTGGGCGACTGCATTTGATTGGAATCCATGTTATAGATGTTTTTGTATGACTCTTCTGGTAGCTGCGAGGTTTCGCGAGCTAGCTTTCTTTTTTGACGGGGATGCGATTTTCTGAAAATAGATTTAGACTTTGAACCATGGTGAATTTGTGCGCTGTCCGGTAACAATGATCTGCACAGATATGCCCACATTTCTTCAATTCATACGAAAACGTTAGGTGATTCGGTCGCGCAACATAAAATACAGGAAGCACTCAATTAAGGCTAATTAACTCCTCGTCCATTCCTTGTGTTATAGGCAATAGAGACATTTAAACTGTAATCTGCAGCAGTCTCTCCATTCCTGAACTAAATGGATAGATGAGAGACACATAACTTTTGCCAAAATACTGCCCGCAGCCCGCCCCATCTCGGCATACCTGAAATCCAGACCACAAAACTCGGCGGGTGAACATTTGGACCGAGCATTCCTTACCATAAATTGTTCAAAGATCAGTTGAATTTTTCAAGATATTGTAGCAGCTTCCGCTCATGAGCTCGGTAAGCGAAAGATTAGGTTTTATTTTTAAAAATCTGCGCCTGCCGATTGTCTTGCATGGGGCATGGGAAAATGTTACTTATTTCCAAGAATGTGTCTGTCGTCAGTCTCAGCGTTCCACGTGAGCGCACGTGTACAGACTCACACAATTATCTGCACTTCCGGGATGCTGTCACCCTTTTATCTTATGGAGAGAGATTGCGCCGAAATACAGTAAAATGGCTATGAGATAGACGCAGGCCAGAAAGTCAGCTTTTGTGCTATCCACGCTATAAAAGTGGCTACATAATGCAGCAGCGCGCATGGATTGTCAAGTAAAAGCTTGCTTGTTGAGAACGTACTGCTCTACCGTCTTCACTCCTCACTCCACTTATTATATCCCTTATTTCTCAATTCATTTGAAAAACGTTGCTGCTCGTAAGCTAATCGGGAAACTCGCTGAAAATCATCAAGGTCTGGTCAGCGCACTACTAGTTATTCTACGGGGATTATGACCAATAGTACAATGTTTTCTATGTACATAATGTTCCTAGCATTTGCACTCAACAACGTATGAAAGTATTGGTTGGAAGGTCAATATTTGAAAGTGCTTTACATTTTAACATGCCAGACTATTTTCTTCAACTTATTTTCTTCAATCTTCAAATCTTCAGAAGCTATCCAAAGATGCACACCAATATTTACTCAAGATTCAAAAATCACGAAAGCACACCACGCCTGATCTCAAACCTGCCAAAAAAGCCTTCGAGTCGATGCCGGGTCATCTTTAGCGGCATGGCTCAAACCGTTGCTTCACTCATGGATACGCCCGTCAAGTGTACCGTCCTACAGCGCGGAGGCCTTTACCGGCTGAAGCACCCGTGTCCTTGGTTATGTAGCTATGCGCAAATCAACTAAGGCTCGCCAGAGATCACATCCCTTTCTCACATTGTTTCCAGTCGTTTCAAGAATAGCCATGCTTTTTAAAGCAACTACAAGGTAAGGATGATGCCATGAGTGGAGTGAATAGCTGACACCTGCATGTCATGTACCTTGAGGTACACTCAAAGCGGATATGGATAGAGCGCACGTTTCCCTTCAAGGAAAGGTTATGGGATGTGAAAGGTTGTCTGTCATGTGTTGCAGGTAATATAATTCATACGTAAATGATTTCCCACCCTCAGTTATTCTTCTTCGCTTTGTCTTTCTCCAGGCTTCTGACCGGTGCACAAATGTACCTTTCTCCATTGTTTCGCCCATAGGTTCCGCCAACCTGCTGACAGCCTTAAGAGCACCTGCTCGCTCCCAGCCGACGGACAATTTGGGACGACTTGAATCAGCCAAATCAGGCTTTCTCTGTCTGCCGAGAAGACACCGATAATTAATTCATCGAATCTCGTGCGTTTGTCTCGCAGCGCGCCGCCGCGCGACGGTTGTTTGTGCCGAATGTGTCAGGATGGCTTGCGGGCTGGGTCTGCGGGCGGACGACGGCCGATAGCGGCGTCCGTCCGCCCCGTTACCCCCTCGTTCTCGGATATCAGAGCGCCCTTCACGCCTCGCTGCCCGGCGGCGTCCGGCAGAGGCGTCACCAGCGGCGCGCGGCACGGCCGGTGCAGGGACGCGCGCAGGCGGGAGGTCAGGGTGACAGTGTGGGCTCAGACAGTTCGCTAGCTCACCACATGCACCCAGCAAACGCAAGGTTGTGCTTGTGGTCGTTGCCTTATTCTAGGTCCGCTATTGGAATATTGGAGGGGACGCTTGCGACAGACTTCCCATTTCTGATGGCTGTTGGTTGAGAGGGATATTGCCGAGTACTCATGAACGATTGAACCTAGCCAGGACCAGACCCACCGCATTGTGTATTCCAAAACGATCATTTCTGCAATCCTCTTGATGCCTTGGTAAAGGTGTCCGCCATCTGAAAGGCAGTACAGTTATGCATCACGGTGATTTTCATTGATTGCCTTGTTATTTCCTTGTGTTTTCCATGCTGCGGAACAGTTGCTGCACGTTCTCCCCGTGATGGAAGGCTCCGATATTGGCCCTGTTTCTGGTGATAATTGCGTTGCGTTCGGCTCGGCGGGTTATGGATTATGTATTGGCTGCGCGCCGCTGCTCATCGCTGCCTTTTCAGTCTCGATCGGCTGATGGGTCGACAAAGTTAGACGAACGATGTTTTGGTGAGCCCGCTCACTATCTCACAGGGTCGCGTTATTATCTCAAGAAAAAACAAACAAATAGCTGACGGCGGCAACCAATGCAAAAATAACTCGCCAGCGTAGCTTGTCGAAAATCTGCAAGAGCCTGGACAGAGAGTCATAAAGTTGGATGGAATCTTTGCATGCGAGGGGTGTTTTCGTTGTGAGAGAAGCACATTGTACACCAATCAGGGCCGTGCCCGATCCCGCACCGGCGGAATGGATTCCGACTTGGTCATTTACTACATGGGGCTTGTTCGTTTGGCCATGTTTTGCGTGGCCATGTTTGACCATGTTTGACCATGTTTCCACCTTATTTAACCCAAGCTTCATAACCTATGATCTAAGTTTGACAAAAGTGAGTTCACGTATAGAACTGCCTGACCTGTGAATTTAATGCTTTTAGCTCCCCTACATTTTTAGAATCAGGGGGACAAACTGCCCCCGCCCCCGCCGCCCGAACGAGTCGCAAACAACCCCACTGAATCGCAAGGTAATCATAATGCGCGTCATTAACCACAGTTTATGAACTTCTATGCTTAAAAGGGATGTAAGCAATCCATGGCCAGGTTGAGCTCTCAAGATATAAACGCGATCCACCAGATTGGGGATCTCAAAGCGTCAAAACAGCCATCTGCATAGAATTCAAGCGAAATTCACCTCATCTACATAGGGTTAAAAGGATGTGTGCCCCAACAGGGGCACGCGTGCTTTTACATACAACACATTTTTATCATATGTTTTTACATCACGCAACAGCGATCGTAATACTGAAAATAGCAGAAAGGGCACTTTGAGAGAGAGAGAGAGAGAGAGAGAGAGAGAGAGAGAGAGAGAGAGAGAGAGAGAGAGAGAGAGAGAGAGAGAGAGAGAGAGAGAGAGAGAGGTAGAGAGAGAGAGGAGAGAGAGAGGAGAGAGAGAGAGAAGGAGAGAGAGAGAAGGATGAGAGAGAGAGGAGAGAGAGGAGAGCGAGAGAGAGAGAGAGAGAGAGAGAGAAGGAGAGAGAGAGAGAGAGAGAGAGAGACAGCTGGTGTACACCGAATAATACTCTTTGTTTTGAATTTGCATGCTTTTGATGTGGTGTCACGACTAATGTGATATATTTCCAATTTGTGAATGCGAATTTTTCAGCAGTTAGCTATCTTTTTCACGAATTTTCCCCAGCTGTCGAAGAATGCGTGCGATGTTGTTGTTCGTAAGCGCTAGTTTTGATGAACCGGAATTTCTTGGTTGGGATGCTGATCTGTGAAATTCTTAACTAGGTCTTACGCATAGTTTGTCTCGAATGATATTTCCAAGCTCCTCATTATGCGGGGGACTGTTGGCTATCAGAGCAGAAGTTGTTTAACACCAATGTCAAATATCACCGGATGTTATTAGCAGTTCTAGTTGATTCAGCCTATCAACAACTCCAGCCAGTGTAGACGACTGAACTCCAATGCCAGCTCAACAAGATTTTAAAATGCATAGATGTCATCTGGTTTACCGAAAATTCCACTCGCTTATAGGGACATCTCACTTACGGAGTCACTTATAGAGTTGATTCCGATTCTATGCGAGGACGCGCACAGGCATGACAGCGGCGAGGAACATCATCTGACACTGGAACAAAGATCGCGCAGTAGACAGCCGCGAACACAGAACAGGTCCGCCTCCCATCACTGCGGGCCGACCGTGCCTGACGAAAGACGAAGCCAATTCGCGACCCTGCCACCGTCGGCCCATCCGCAGTGGCGTTTTCACGAATCTCTCGGTTCGCCCACTGATGTGAGTGTCGCCTGTTGCAGGTCAAGCCTCCGCGGCGTCGCGGCCGCGCCGCCGAAGGCGCCATGGCTCGGCTGACCTCCGCCCGCGCCACTTTGGCCGCGGCGACCATCGTGGCGGGCGTGCTGGGCAGCATCTCCTGGACTCCCATCTACCCTTCCAGCAACAGTGAGCGCTTCCTCCCGCCCTGGCAGCCTCCGGTCAACGGCTAGCGCCCTGGGCGTTGAACGATGCGACAAGGCGTGTCGTGTGGGAGGGAGAGAGGCGTGGCATGCGGCGAGAGAGGGAGAAAATCCCAAAATTGCATGCCTTTTCCATTGCTGGTGTCTTATCCAGAGGCTAAACACCTCAATGAAGTACTTTGGGTTCTTCAGATTTTGTTATACGGAACCGTGTTATGTGCTTGCAAGTACATTGGCTCAGCTTCTTTTATATTGATTCAATGCTGTTCTATATTACGTCATTCATTGTTGATCACCATGGACGATGAACAGAATGCTGTTTTGCAGAATGCTGATTAGCGCATAAGTTGTCGTTGGAGTTGAGACAGTCGGGGTCACTGTCAGGTCACGTTTTATGGGAGGTGATTCAGTCAGTCAGCAGTCTCTGTGGAAGACCCGTGGGAAATCATCAATTTACCGAGCGAATTGAGTGAGGGTCGCCATGACGATCGCCAGCTCTTAAGCAGATGTGCGGCGTTATTGGTGAGAAAAACCCAGGAACAGTGCGGCAGGGGTAAAGGAGGGGAGGAGGGGGACGGGGTGCACAAAGAGGGCAGGTGTAGATGGTCCCGTTGCCTGCGGGAAGGGCAGGAGTATGTTTGCTTGCCCCATAAAATGACTGATGACTCTTTCCCGCATCAAGAGGCCCGTTTACTGGATCAGGAGCTCGTCTTTGTGGATTAGGTTGCCCACGCACTGGGTCAGGAGGCCTTTTTGAGTAAATGAGACCTCCCTGCTGGCTTTGGGGACTCCGTTATGTGCTAGGAGGCCCCTTGTTGTGGAATGCACCCTCTTTACATCAGGAGACCCCTGTTTTTTCCAGGACGTCCTTTTAAGCATCAGAAGGCTGCTGTTCCCGATCATGATGCTCTGTTGTGTAATAGTGAGGTACTTCGATGGACTTGGACGCATCCTCTGTGGATTGGAATAATCCCGTTCTGGATTGAGGGCCGTTTATGCATCAGGAGGTCACGGTTTTGGGGTAGGGTGGCATTTTGCTCGTAATCGCTGACATGCGTATTACAAGGCCCCGTTCTGGACTTTGTAAGTTTCGACATGAGCTCACATGTGACAGTTCGATTGGCGGAACGCATGCCTCACTGCCCCTCCCCTTGCAAGGGACATTTTCCAGGAGGTCTCCTTGTGAGGAGAGCCCATTTGTCTGCCCCTAACCTCAAAATCTCTTGCGCCACCCTTCAAACGGCCGATATGGAAATCACAGGCTGTGAGCTTGCTGCACATTACTGCCCGGTTGCCGCTTTATAACGGCAAAGATTATCACCACCGGGCGTGACGGGATTCTTTTGCCTGCCAAGAACCCCGTCTAATAGCTCCAATAACGCCACGACGTCCTGGGCAGTCTTTATGGCTTGATCATATCCCGGGTTGCCTGACATGAGAACCGTGTTACGACTCCAATGCGAAGTATGGCCTCTAAATTACACGTTGCGTCGCGGACGTTCAGTAAGTGCTCACCACCTCGCTGCTTATTTCGTCTTATTTTTGCAAACATGACCTGTTATCATGCTGCCGACGAGGAAAACACGACACACCACCATACTTCAGTGTCTGGAGTTGGCAGGTCGACAAAATGACATTTGGTCATGGCTGTTTCACTCCATCAGCCTCTGTAACTGACGTAATCACTCTTGCTGTGGGTGAGCCCAGCCCGCTTGGCAGCGCAGCCCACCCGCCGGCCGGTGACCCGGGGTCACGTGGTGGGAGCGTGAGCCATCGCCGCGGCACCCGCCGGCCGCCGTCCGCCGCCGCTGGCTCTAACGGTTCTCCAGTGGCCAACCCCGACCGTACCGTGCGATTGGCTGTTGCTCAGCGGCTACGAAGGCGACAGCTCATTTCCGACTGGTCACTGCCCTCCCATGCGCGCCTTTGATGTTCCGTCGCGTGTTTGACTCTGGGAAGCGTGCATCTCAATAGTTAAACTGGAACTTGACGGCAACGAAAACGGCCAGTAGTCTAGAGAATTTGTGAAGGGAAATGCCCCAAGGGGAATTCTCGATACCGCCGCAATCCCTCTCTCTTTACTCTAGATCAAGACTCTCGTGTTTCGCTTGGTGCCTCGGACTTGGCAACATATGTATATATATATATATATATATATATATATATATATATATATATGTAATAAATATATATAAATCAATAAATCAATAAATATATAAATATACAAATATATATATATATATATATATATATATATGGTTAGCAGCTGTTCTGAAAATGTTCGGTGCGATGTTTCCCCAGACGAACCGTTTTCGCTGTCGTCCAAACACTCGTTTGACTATCTGAGACACGCCTGAGAGACACATCTGTGTGCTCATTGAGTTTGGTGTGTGTACGTCTCCGCGCGAGATGACTTCTCTACATCCAACTCTCGGATGACAACGCAGCACACAGCTTCACGAACCAAATGCATAATTTCCTGGAAGTTATGCATACCAAGTTGGCTGTAACTTTATTATCGTCGGATGGGCTTTGCTTGCCTCACACATTTAGTTGAAAGGATTTTGCACCATTCGGAGTGTCAGGCTTTTCTACCGCTCGTGCATAATATGCATTACGGCTCATTGCTTGGTAAGTAGGCACCGACGGCAGTATTTTTATGCTTTTGAATAATTGGCGCCGCTCTGTTTCAACCTCATTAAAACAGCTTGGGCGCCGCATGAAGAATGATTAAGCTATTTTATGCTTTTGTTTGAATATTTAGTCCAAACCTTTTTAAGGGAAGAGTTTTTGAGATTAGCGCCCACGCTATGCGGCACTTGCAACATGAGCCCTGATCACATAATTCGATGTGGAAGTTTCGGGCAAACGGCAGAATCTTGCGGTATAAGCCTAACGTAACGCAAAGGCTCGGGACGGTTCGCCATGCCCGTCGACATCACCTGACCTTTGGCATAGCCGCTGCTCAGGCTGCAGGGAGGGACACACGGAAAGCCCCTGGGACGACTCAACCCACCCTGCCACGGGTGGGGGATCCGAAAGCAT